TCTTCCGAAGTGCTCCCATGATATCTTGACTTCCCTCATTACGGCATCTATTGCACCATATTAAAACATGGCCTGTCCACTTGTCTCAATGCTCAATAGACTGCGAGTTCCAGGAAAGCAGGGCTCTGTCCATTTTTGTCAGAGCTATATTGCCAATGCCTGGCACATAGCAGGTGCTCAATAAAGAGCAACTGAATGAGTGAAGATTCTCTAGCCCACTGTTTCTCTTTCACCCTTTCTTTCTCTCTGCATCAAGGCCAACTCTTCTTCCAATAATTTTTATCAGCAGTGTGCCCTGTGGTTTTTTGGGGTTTTTTTGCGGTACGCGAGCCTCTCACTGTTGTGGCCTCTCCTGTTGCGTAGCACAGGCTCCGCGGCATGTGGGATCTTCCCGAACCAGGGCACGAACCCGCGTCCCCTGCATCGGCAGGCGGACTCTCAACCACTGCGCCACCATGGAAGCCCCTGCCCTGTGTTTTGAATCTATTAGCATGTGTGAGAAGTGAAGAATATTCAAAAATGGAAGGTGAGTTGGTTAAACGACCCCACTTTGGACTGCAATGTCCTGTAATACCCTGTCCAGCTGACAGCAGGGCGGCAGGACATGCAACGGATGTCCCTGCCAAAATTCTGAAAAGTGGCCCATTTGGGACCAAAGAACCAAATAAGAAATACATGACATCATGTGTAATTACATGTATTCACTGGGGAGAACACAGCTGGTACAAGATGGGAAGGGACTTGAGGCAGTGAAGGGAAATGAAAAGAGCCAGTTTCTCTCTATATCTTGCAAACCAAAATGGGGGTTGCCACATCAGATACGGAGACTCTTGGGAGGTACTGTTCAGAGCACTGCTTTCCTGCTGGCCGGGGTCATGGAAGCAATATCAGACTGTTTAAAGCCCTCTCACATTACATGTTTCAATAAATACTTACTGAATTTAATCTCGTTAGCTGAGAATGGAAATGTTTGGAAACAAGCCGCCTGCTGCTTGGGCTGAGCTCACCAAATCTGGAACACATTTACGCGTAAATCATTCCAGATTAACTTACAGTGTACTGTGTCCAACATGCTCTCTAACTTACGGTAAATGAATATGATTTTAACAAGTTTCCAATAGGAAATGCAAAATATCTCCAAGGCATGACTGACTGAAGGAGTTTCACCATTTGTTGTTGGTGTCGCTTCATAAGACTGGTAAATATCTTGCTCACTTTACATTAACTCTTCCCTGGCGGAACACTGTCCTGAGCGTCTTACAAAGGCCAACAGAAGACACTGCTTGTCCCAGGTACTCTTTTCAGGAATTTCACTGATCTGCTTTAGTTAGAGGATGTGAGACCTGAATCACAGAATCACATCATTTATATCAGTGGTTCTCAGCTGGGGGTGACTCTGCTGTCCACAACCAAGGGACATATTTGGTTGTCACAGCTTGAGGGTAAGGGGTACTGCTGGCACCCGGTGGCAAGAGGCCAAGGATGCTGCTAAACATCCTACAATGAACAGGACAGCCTCTAACTACCAAGAATTCCCTTGCCCCGAATGTAAATGTGTCAAGGTCAAGGAATCCTGATTTATGAAGAGGAAAAGAATTATAGCTATATCTTCGAAACCGTATAAGTGCTGTTTCCCTTATATGCATGTGATTGCCTTCCTTAGGAGAATGGGCATGCTAGGGAGAAAAAGGCAATTTAAAGAATTGACGCAAAATGCTGTTTTTTTTCTCTAGAAGTTTGTTCCTTGTGATAGAGGAAAGAATCTAAAACCAATGAGAACTCTCAGTACAAACTACTCTTCCAATTCCATCAAAACAAAACCCTACATCAGAAACTTACTGAAAACAGGACCCTACATCTAACCAAACGGGATCTTCCCGAACCAGGGCACGAACCCGCGTCCCCTGCATCGGCAGGCGGACTCTCAACCACTGCGCCACCATGGAAGCCCCTGCCCTGTGTTTTGAATCTATTAGCATGTGTGAGAAGTGAAGAATATTCAAAAATGGAAGGTGAGTTGGTTAAACGACCCCACTTTGGACTGCAATGTCCTGTAATACCCTGTCCAGCTGACAGCAGGGCGGCAGGACATGCAACGGATGTCCCTGCCAAAATTCTGAAAAGTGGCCCATTTGGGACCAAAGAACCAAATAAGAAATACATGACATCATGTGTAATTACATGTATTCACTGGGGAGAACACAGCTGGTACAAGATGGGAAGGGACTTGAGGCAGTGAAGGGAAATGAAAAGAGCCAGTTTCTCTCTATATCTTGCAAACCAAAATGGGGGTTGCCACATCAGATACGGAGACTCTTGGGAGGTACTGTTCAGAGCACTGCTTTCCTGCTGGCCGGGGTCATGGAAGCAATATCAGACTGTTTAAAGCCCTCTCACATTACATGTTTCAATAAATACTTACTGAATTTAATCTCGTTAGCTGAGAATGGAAATGTTTGGAAACAAGCCGCCTGCTGCTTGGGCTGAGCTCACCAAATCTGGAACACATTTACGCGTAAATCATTCCAGATTAACTTACAGTGTACTGTGTCCAACATGCTCTCTAACTTACGGTAAATGAATATGATTTTAACAAGTTTCCAATAGGAAATGCAAAATATCTCCAAGGCATGACTGACTGAAGGAGTTTCACCATTTGTTGTTGGTGTCGCTTCATAAGACTGGTAAATATCTTGCTCACTTTACATTAACTCTTCCCTGGCGGAACACTGTCCTGAGCGTCTTACAAAGGCCAACAGAAGACACTGCTTGTCCCAGGTACTCTTTTCAGGAATTTCACTGATCTGCTTTAGTTAGAGGATGTGAGACCTGAATCACAGAATCACATCATTTATATCAGTGGTTCTCAGCTGGGGGTGACTCTGCTGTCCACAACCAAGGGACATATTTGGTTGTCACAGCTTGAGGGTAAGGGGTACTGCTGGCACCCGGTGGCAAGAGGCCAAGGATGCTGCTAAACATCCTACAATGAACAGGACAGCCTCTAACTACCAAGAATTCCCTTGCCCCGAATGTAAATGTGTCAAGGTCAAGGAATCCTGATTTATGAAGAGGAAAAGAATTATAGCTATATCTTCGAAACCGTATAAGTGCTGTTTCCCTTATATGCATGTGATTGCCTTCCTTAGGAGAATGGGCATGCTAGGGAGAAAAAGGCAATTTAAAGAATTGACGCAAAATGCTGTTTTTTTTCTCTAGAAGTTTGTTCCTTGTGATAGAGGAAAGAATCTAAAACCAATGAGAACTCTCAGTACAAACTACTCTTCCAATTCCATCAAAACAAAACCCTACATCAGAAACTTACTGAAAACAGGACCCTACATCTAACCAAACTAAGAAAAGAATAATCTTTCAATAATCTACTAAAAAAAGTATTACCACTGTAATAAATGCCTAACAGCTTTTATATAATTCTATGAAATAACGGAAGGAAACAAATAGTAAGCTCCTTGGAGGCAGCGATTATTTTTCAGTTTTTGTTCCATCATTGCATCTCCAGTGTCCAGAACAGTGCCTGGAACACAGTAGAAGCTCAATAAATATGTGTTAAATGATTAAATGCAAAACCCCCAAACTCTACCAGAATCATTTTGGAGAAAACAATTCTCTTTTATACCACTTCATGTGTGTACAATTTTGAGTAAGGAATGTTTCTGCACAGATCTTGTGTACTCTCT